CTTGCTATCCTCAGATCAGTCGAGATAGGCAGAAGAAAGTCATTGCTTTCATTCTCTTAATCCTGGGCTGGGGTGGGGAGGGCGGCATTTCAGGATTTTTAGTTCTTTATATCTACAGGGATTTCAACCTGTCCAAGAGTGTTCTTTCTATCCATTGGCATTTCAGGGAACTGAGAGATCAAAGCCTTTCCAGCATCTGCTCTTCCTTAGACTGATTGATACCCGGCGTTAAACTCAAGCCAGTTCAATCAAAACAAGGCCTGTTGCCTGCAAGCCTCACTTTGGCCAGGATGAGCTCTGTCTCTGGCTTGTAGAGCTGCAGGAAAATGGAGGCGGGTGGCAGGGGGCGGGGGTGGGCTCCTGATTTTAAATTCCTGAAGTGGGTTTCTGAGAGAAGGGGTTTCATGGAGGGGGAAAAAAAGTGCTGAATTGTGTTTAAGAACATGTTTCCTGCTTGCCTGTTTAGGGAATTTTTGGCCTGGTTGGTGCAGGAATTACAGACGCTTTGTATCAGGGGTAGAGACGCGTTCACCCTTTCTGGGAAGCCCTGATCAGCACCCCCCCCTCCCCTCCCCTGCCTAGTGCAAGCTTTCTGCTTAACCTGAGACCATGGCTGCGGAGGAAACCCACCCTGCTCCTGCCTGCCTCCACCTCCTCAGCCCTGGGGCAGGGGCCGGGTGGACTCTGCGGCAGGCTGCCGCGCCCTGAGCAGACTGGGTGGTTCCCATTCATTGTGCCGGCTCTGGGCTCCCAGCCGGGCTGGGGCCCAGCTGCGAATCCTGGGTTCCGACCCCAGTCCAAAAGCCGGTACAGACGGGACGGCTGCCAAGCCCTCCGCTTGCCAGCGTTTTCTACGAAGGAGGCAGTTACTGCAGACACATGACAACTCAATTCCCTTCCATTTCAGCGTGTTGCAATTAGCTAAGGAATCTAATTTCCACAAAAGACTGACTTAGGGATGGTACCAGCTTAGCTGGGGCGCCAATCTACTCTGCAGTCTAACATCATAGAGCCTCACAAAACAGTCCCTTTTTAATTAACGATGCTCATAAAAGTGGGTGCTTGGAAGGAAAGGAACCATCTTCTGTCATTTATTTTCTCCTCAGCATGAAAAAAAAAAGCCTATGAAGAGTACTGGTGAGCTTCTTAGAGGGATGCATTTCTTATTTATTGACAGCTTAGAAGAAGAAATACTTTGGATCAAATGACCTTTTGTTTTTGTAGACTTGAACTAGAGTTCCTGTCGGGAGGCTGCTCAGGTGTGCGTGCGGGCTCAATTTCCTTTCTGTTCCCGGCCGTCCGGGGTCACTCCCTCTAGCCTTGGCTAAGAATGGACTTCAGAATGTTTGAAAGGACCAGAGGGTGGCAGAGCTGAGCCATTTATTTTGGCTGCTCTTGAAACAAATGAGATACATTAGAACCTAATAGGAGGGAAGTTACTGGTATTATCTGTCTGCTTAATTGCTGTCTCCTAAATTTGGCTCCTAGGAATAGCTGCAGTTTGGGAGGTGGGGAAATCGCCAACTCCTCTATGCCAGCGTAAATTTCCCCTTCCGCCATCAACACTGGTCTCTGCCTGCAAACAGGTTGAAAACCACTAAACCACTCATTACACCCAAACCATTGCCCCCACACATCCCCCCAGTAGCGCTGGGCACGCGTATTCCTAAGGCATGGTGTTCTCTGTGCTCACACTAAGCAGGAAATTAAGAAAGTATTGTCCTATTTGTTGGAGCCACCTCCCAATTATTCGGCCTAAATTATCTAGTTTGATTTTCTGTAATGATGAAGTCCATGTGATTTATTGCTAAGTCCTGGACATTATACATTAGTGATGGTGTCGGCTTGAGTGTGCTCCGTTCCTAATTCACGATGGTAGCTTTGACTTTATGATGATTGATGCTTTTCCCCACTGCTGTTCCTTATCGATAAAACAGAGCAAGAGGAAAAACGAATCTGCAAATTTTGCAAAGAAGAAAGGCAACAAGAATTGTGTGTGTCCATATATGTGCGCATATATATGTGCATGTCTGCCTGGGAGGTTGAGAAATCAAAGTGACATAGAATGTTTTGTTGTGTGACTCCCCACAGACCAGTTCACGCACATGGAACCGTTAGAGCCAGCAGGGGGTTAGAGGCCCCCGCTACCACTCTCCCTACTGTGCATCTAGAGAAGCTAAAGCTTAGTCGTTTACCCAAGTCCTCCCAGCATGTTAGAGGCAGGACTAAAATTCAGATTTGTTTCACTGCTGGAATGCATCCAATCACATTTTTTCCCCTTGAGGGACCCAGTTTGGAATCATCTGAGAGAAGATTTCTGGGACATTCCCTCTCCATGTCTTAAAGAGATGATTCTATTGTCTGTCAGCTGCACCTGGCAGCTCCCAGTGGGCCCACAGGTTGAATATGGTGACCGAAGCTCAGGGACCCAGCAGAGGGTGGGCAAGCGGCCCAGTGACTTCTCCAGATGCCTCATTCAAGGAGCCCAGTTTGGAATCTGCAGGTCTGGCTGTTTGAGTGGAGGCAGAGTGTCCCTGGTGGAGCCCTGGTGCCTTTGTCACCTGATTTTCCTTGACTTCGGGCTTCCTGAATGCAGACCAGCAATGGGTAAAGTCGCGAGAAGGGCTTCTTTAAATTTTTTCATTAAAAATGATTTTCCTTTAAAGTGAATAAAGTGCTAGCGAAAGGGGCTCATAACATCTCCAAGGATTCATGCACCACTTTAGAATTGTGGTGTTCCTCCTCCCTGCCATAAAGTGAATACAGTGCTAATAGCAGCTCAGAGACAGGTATTCTGGCCTTGAACTGGTAGTAGTTGAAGTCCCTCTCTGTAACTTTTCCTCCTTCAGACACGTGTTTGTGGTGGGGAAAAGGATGGTTTTAGATGAGAGACCCCTACCCGTGTGGCTCCCATCCGTAAATGCTTCTTAAGAAAAAAGGATTCCAGCTTCTATCCTACATCGTCCAAGGCCAGGATACCATTCAGCTTTCTGGTCTGCACAGGCCAAGAGAACAGAATGCAGTGACTCGTGGACCTTGCAAGCCGAATGCAAACAGCTCCATCCTCAAGCCCCAAAGCCAAATCCTTTTTTGCCGCATAGTGCGTTTTCTTAACCTAAGTCACTCTAGATCCTTGTCTTGGCCTGCTCTCTTGGCCCCTGGAGACATCAGCTATTGTGCATCAGGGAGTAGGAGAAAATTCCCCATGGGAAGGTGCTTTGAGGAGGAGCTAACCCCCCCATCTCTGTCCTGCCCCACGTTGGGGACACTCTAAAAGACGCAAACAAAACCGAGCCGCAGTGCAAATTGATTGTCAGCTCTCTCTCAGCCTCTACCTACTTTGATCCAAAGCCACAACACCGAAGTGCAAAGAAAGAAGTGTGATCCCAGTCCCTGACCAGAGCAGAGAGAGTGCCAAAGACAACGGTGCCAGTGTTTGGGGTGGAGTGGGGTTGGCAGCGAGCAGGCCCAGGCTGCTGGAGACAGCCCCCCTCGCAGCAGGGCTCCTCTGCCCCCCCCTGCTCCCGCCCCCCGCTGTCCTTCAGCACACGCCCCGCCCCTTACAATCCATTTCCTAGCCTCCTTCCTTTCCGGGCACCCTGGCTACCCTGCAATAGAGCCGGCACTCCCGGGTTAGAAGGATAGAGAAATAGTTGTCACATGTTAAAGCTAAACAAAGCACCAAAAAGGGGGAAAAAAAAAGACATATAAAAATATAATGGGCTCATTCCCCCCGCCCCCCCGACAGCTCCCCACATTATTTGCGGTATATGAAATGTCAAAATATAATGAACAGACTCTCTACACATTACCATTTCTTTCCACCCATATATATCTAAGCTGAGCAGCTTCAGCACTACCCTTTTACCTCTTAAGATTTCACTCTGCAGAACTGCTCTCTATAAATTCGTTTCATCCCACTGACCTCACCTTCCCAAATACACAGCCACTTGCAATTCCAAAGAGACTTTCCAAAAAAATAGACATTTGAAAAAAGTGCATCTGTTTACACTCAGTCTATGCATATTATTTCTTGAGATTATTACTTTTTTTTCTTTTTAACCGTAAAAAAGATTGCATATTGGCAATATAATGAGAAAACCAGGGTGGCCATTTCCGGGGGGAGGGTGAGAGGGTGGGTGTGGAAGCGCAGAAGCGAGAGAGGGGCAGACGCGCGATCCGCAGCCTCGAGGCAGGAGGACCAAGCGTGGCTTATCTTGATTCCCAGTCCAGGGCCTCTGAGATGTCCCGCAGAGGCCTCTGCGGTCGCTCCCTCCTCTCCTCTCCTCTCCACCTCTCCCCATTACACTCCCCGGGCTCTGGCCGCACAGCCCTCTTGGAGCAGAGGCAGAATGGGAATAGCTTTTTGGCAGGTGTCCCCCCGCCCCGGGGCCTGCTGGAAGACAGGCATGGCGTTTGGAGGGGTGTGACGTGGGACACACACCAGAGCAAGCTTATTTGTGACTGTTTCCACTTGGGGAAAAATTGTCCATCACTTCTGTGAGTTTAAAAATGTAAGCAGTTACTAGGCTGATAGGTTAAGAAGAATCTCTTGTTCTCGTGGTTTCGCGTTGATAGTAAGCATGAATAGATATCCTATGTTACATTGCCTGCCTTCTGCGCTGGGGCAGGCTGCACTCTCCTTCCCAATAGGAGGACCCGCAGCCTGGACTCTGATGTTGAGAGGCTGTTCTCCCCCAACCCGCTCCCACCCTTCCCTTCCTCCTGGCCCCTCAGTTCCTATGTTAGAAAAGCCCCTGCCCACCCCCACAACCGCCAGCTCACCCGTGCTTAGGTAGATAGTGCCACATTCTAAGACTCATGCATCACTGCCTTTCTCTGTTGCACAGGTTGCAGAGAGAGAGAGAGAGAGAGAGAGAGAGAGAGAGAGAGAGGCGGCCTGCACGCCTCTTCCCCCCTCCCCTTCTCTTTCTCCGGCTCTAGATCCCCATGCCTGTCCCGCTCTGCCCTCTCCCAGCCTCCCCCCAGTCCCAGACCCGTCACTGGTTGTGGACGTCCTCCCTGCGGACAATCTTGTAGATGATCCAGTAGAACATGTTGAAGATGAGGAAGGCCATGGGGAAGCCGATGCGGGATATTTTGTCGATCTTCTTGGCCCTCTGGATGAAGAGTTTCCGCATCTCCTCGGGGGACTTGGAGGGCGCAGGAGGGGGGTTGGTGGTGTTGTTGTTGTTGGCGCCCTTGACCGAGATGCCATCCTTGGCCTGCAGACAGGCCGGGCCCATCCCGTAGGCAGAGAAGTTGAAGCGGCCTTCTCCAGCCTCATCCTCCTGGAACAGGTTCAACATGGGGCTCTACTTAAAATAAGACAGAGGCTGGGCACCCTCCCTGCAAGGCACTCCCCTGGGGGCCACGCCAGGCCCCGCTGGCTCTCCCTGCTGCCCTGCACCTCCATTCCAGGCTCCCGAAGGCTGTTGGCTGGCTGGGGAGTCATGCCTTATAGAGGGCGCCGCTCGCTTGCCCAAACAGACGCAAACCAGGGGATGGGAAGGTGGTGCCGGTCTGGAGACCTGTGCTCCAGGGTCGGCTCTTGTTACCTTCTGGCTGTGCAGCCTTAGGCAAGTCTTCTGGGAGTCTCGGGTTTATTTTATTTCATTTTTAGCTGTAGGTGAGGGTAAGAGTCATCCCACTATCTCAGAAGGTTCCTTGCCCATCAGAGGTTATCAGTGAGCACATACTCTGACTGCTGCTCTGTTAGAAATCCAGGGTGTAGTTTGGAGAGATCCCCTGCTTTGCTTCTGTTGCCTCCTTGCCCTCCTCCCCCACCAACTGCCCCAGTTAATGCCTTCCTGTGTGTGGGTTCAGGGGAGGGGGCGGATGCTCAAGGAGGGAGCAAGAGTTGTGGGCTTCATGTCCATTTCTCAAGCCAGGGAGGCCACAGCTTCTTCCTCCCTCCATGTCATGTTCCCATGTCCCTGGTGGCTGTGACCGCAGACCTGCTTCTGGACTTGCATCAAGGCATCGTTCTAGGCCCTTCATTGTTTGGCTCCAACTTACCTGGACAGGCTTCTCTCCCGCCCACCTTACACTTTGCTCCCCTGCCAGTTAGGGGGCCCTTTCCGAGTCATCCCTCCACACCTGCTCCCTGCCTGGTGCTCCCTACTGAGGTGCCCATTGCCCTGCCCCCTTCCCCGCCCCCTCCCAGCCCGAGCCACCCTTGCCCGGAGCAGAATCCTGGAGGCCCTATTATTGTCTGCTTTCTTGTGCAGCTTTGTGTTCCTTCCCCGTGAGCTCTCAGGGGCCCTGAGGGCCTCTGCTGAGGTCTGAATTCTGTGGGTGTGGCTCTGGGGAAGTTTTATCAGCTCAAGTTGCCCTTCTAGACAGTGGGAGCTTTCAGAGGAGCAGGCCTGTCTCCTGCTTGTCCCCGTGCAGACTGGGCCAACTGAGACACTGGGGCCTCTCCAGTTAGACTCTTGCCACCCTACTTGGGCCTCCATCTGGGCTTGCAGTGACTTTCGGCCTCGCCCTCTTCCTGCTTCCAGGCTGCTCCGACCCCAGCCCTCCTGGGCTGTTATAACATTGATCTTATTGGGCACCTTTTGCCTAGAACTTTTAAATAAGCTAACACTGACTTTGGGATAATTAAAAGGCTTACATGGTAGACAAGGCCTTAGATAACCTGGACCCTGTGTGCCTCTCTGGTCTCATCTGGTGCCATTGTCCACCTGCCATTCTGTGCTCTGGTCCCCTGACACAGTTCCATGTATTCAAAAGTGCCATGTGCCCTCTCTTCGACTCTGGGCCCCTGTTCAAGCTGCTGTCTGCTGGGAGCATACTCTTAACTCCAGCTCTGCTTCTAGCTCCTTCCCTTTCACTGAACTAATTCTTACTCAGAAGCCTTCCCTGAGCCCAGTGGTGGGCTAGGTATCCCTGCTATGTACTCCATGAGGCCCCTGTACAGCCACCCCCAACCCCCACCAAAGCTCTTAACACGTTGTATTCCTTGACTAATGTCTGCCTCTCTGATTAGACCATAAGCCCCATGAATACAGAGGTAAAGTCTAGCATATTCATTGACCCCCCAACAGTAAGTGAACATATGACCAGGGCAAGATCACCATAAGCCCAGAAAGGGAGAAATGAGAAGGATAAGGTCAGCAAGCTGAGTCAGACTGCTGTTTGCCATTAATAGTCTGCCCTTGCTGTAGGGTGCGGTGTTTGACAATGGTTTTTTCGCTGGGCTCTAGTTAGATAGGAGGAAGCACCAAATTAATTTCCTGTATATTGGCTTGGCCAAAAAGTCTGTTATATTTTTTCCATAAAATAAAAGACACATTTTTCATTTTCACCAGCAACTTTGTTGATTTGGTTATTTTGAGTCTGTCGGCTCTCTCCCGCTACGGGCCTCTAGTGGGCGGAGGCCAGGGCTGCTGCTGAACACCCGCCAATGCACGAGACAGCCCCACAGCAGAGACTCATTTGGCCACAATGTCCATAGTGCCAAGAAGCTTCACAAACCATTTTTGAGATGTTCTATCAGTCACAGCACCTTCTCCATCCACTGCACTAATCTTTTTATTTTTTGCATTTTTACCTTTCTTGAAATAATATAGCATAATATGCTGAAAATGTTGCGTATATTCTTCCTTCTTCAGTATTAAAATGGCTGCACAAAAATTCACCAGTTTTGACAAATTTTTAAAGAAATGCACACAGATATGACAGCTGTCACAATACAATCTAACAAAGTTGTTTTGAATGAAGTGAAAGACAAATACGCACTACTAGAGCCATCGTATAGAAAAACATAACATTTCTTTGGCCAACCCAATAATTTTGGGCAAATTATTCTCTGCCCCATCTGCTGAACATGGGAGTGGAAGGAGTGGGTGGAGGTGTGTGAACTGGAGGCCCTGTCTGGTTAGAGGTTTATCCATTTTACTTTGTTGCCAGGAGAAGGAAGGGAGAGTCTCTAGTCACGACACAACAAAGTCTTACTATTCCTATGCCAACCAGCAGGTGGCAGGAAATGAGTGCCCAGCAGCTTCTGGAGCTGCTTGGGTAAGAGGCTGGGGAAATCCCACCATACTCTCTCAAACCCAGGGAGGCTAGGATTGTGCCTGCCCCGTCCAGCTCACAGAGGTTTCCTAATACTCTGACTAATGAGGCCCGCCAGGAATTCGAGAACCAGATGCTTTCCGCCCAACAAATGAGGTAGCTTGGGAGGATGATGGGAGTTGAGGAGCCTGGCTGGGATCTCAGGCTCTGAGAAGTTCAGGCACATAGTTGATTCCTCTCCACTCACCACCTGGGGCTTAAAATCCCCTCTACACACTTCCTGCTCCAGGGAGGTTTCTGCAGCGTGAGCTTGCGCACCGCCCATGTACAAGCCACACCAGGGGGGCTAACTCCAGTGGAAGCTCTTTACGGAGGGTCCAGTTCTGCACCCTTGTAGTTCCTAACTTTTGCACCAAGTTCAGAGCTCTTAGGCACAAGGTCAGACTAATTCGAACACCCACAAGGGACCAGGCAGGAGAAATGTGGGTGAAGCAGTGAGCTGGGCTGAAAAACCTCTCCAGTTAGAGGGGGCTGGGGTAAGCTGGAGGCCGCATCCCCCACCGAAGGCATTTCCAGTGCACCAGTACCACCTAGGGTGTGCGTCTGCTGGGACGGGAGTCTGCGGTTTTTGGAGTGACGTTAGAAGTATGATTTTTAAATGCTGGCACCTTATCCCAGACTTTTAAGACACTGCTGGTGAAATTAATGATATTTCTATGTTGAATTTGACCTTCAGGCTACTAGTTGTTTGACCTCCACCTTATTATAGTTCTTATTTAAGATCCAGTGAGTGCAGGAGTATTTTTATCTGCTTCGGTATGGAAACACTGATGGGCAGATAGCACCTGATGCCGCATGGCCCGTGTTGGGAGAAGAGCCGTGGGTCCTTGAGCACCCGTGCCCTGTCCCCCCGCCCCCCCACCCCTGCCTTTGCCTTCAGGGCCTCTGTGGTCCTCGTGGCTGGCTCCTCCTCCTGCCAGTCCTTTGCCCGGGAGGAGTGGCCGGGATGCTCTCCCAGGGCCCTTCCAGCACTCGCAAGCTGCGAGAGAGAGCGAGCAGGGAACTGCGCAGCGGATCTGATCAAAGCTGGCTAGTAGCCTTAGCCACACTTTACCTGGCCAGAGTGAGAAAGTCTGTTTTCCTTTAGTGTGTAACACTGGTAGGGATTTGGCAAGGGAGGAGGCAGCCTTTGGAAGTACCGCAGGTCCACCACCTCACACATCTGCAAGGGGCTCCATTCACATTTTAGCCTGTGCAAGTAGCGCCCCCTGGAGTTGTACAACACACAATCTAGTGGTCTGCTATTAATACTCTTTTAGCAGAAAGCCACTAGCCCATGGGAAAAAGGAAAAATAAAAGTAAGTCCCAGAGATAATTGCGTTTGGATTTACTTCCTTACTTGGATTTTTTTGGGAGTCAGAGGCTAGAGGTCCAATGGAGAATAATGGAAGGACTAAAACTAGGGGTCATTTAAGCAGCGCTTGCTGGCTTGCTACACTCAAGAGAGTGTCCTCTTCCAATGCAGGTTATATCTTAACTCCCTTGGGCATCTTCTGTCTTGGAATGTCAGCCTTCTGCCTGTGGTAAACTGTTAGAAGTTAATTAAATCAGATTGCTAATGTTTTAGAAACACCAATGGGGATATATGCCTATGTAGCCATTTTGCTCCCTGGCACTTGTGGCAGGAACAAAACTTAAAGCTACTTTGGCACCCGTTTTAACCCTCACCGCAGCCCCCCTTATGCCTGTGTTAGTCCATGTTATGGAAGGAAGAGGCTAGTTTGAAGTCCCATGCCACACAGAGCTAAAGAGGCAGGGTCCTTTGTCATAGCGCAGAGCCTTTTGGTGTAGCAGCACGAAATAGGTCAATTGGAAGCATGTGGGGCCTTGGTGTGTGGCAGGTGTGCGGTGTGGCCTGACAGGTCACAGCATAAGGGTTCTTGGTTGTTCTAATCTGTTGTTGGAAAAACTTTCGGGCAGGCTCTCGGCCTGAATCTCGGTTCCTTAATTTGTCTGTCCCTTTGTCTATGTGTTCTACAAATGCCTATTACATGTTCACTACGCATCAGGCATTGTGTTAGACATTAGGACTGTACCACTGAACAAGAGTAGACAGGGTCTCTGTCCTTATGGAAGTTATAACTCAGTGAAAGAGATGGACATTAAACAATCACATCACTGACCGTGTCGTTATAAATCAAGATACATGTTCAGAAGGAAAGCCACCGGTTTTAATGAGAACACGGCCTTTGCCAGCACACAGCGTCTTTGTGCACAGTAGAGAAAGGCGTGCCCGGCTGAGGCCTGTGCATCGGAAGCCTTTCCTCTGGCTGGCACAGTCCATGCCGGGGCATGGCTTAGAGAGGACCGCCTCGTTGACTGGGGGCCCTGGTGGTACACAACCTGCGCAGCCATACTCGATGGCCTCGAAAAGGGACCTCAGTACGGGCCCTGGGCCTTGCCTGAGGTGTCAGGGAGAGATGGCCCAGCCGAGGACTGGGAAATGAGCAGGCTGAGCCCTAGCAGAGCGCCCTGGAGGAGCAGTCCAGGAGCAGAGAGCAAGCTACCTAAACACCCGTGTGTGTATTTGGAGAACTGGGCAAAAAGCTAGTGTGGCTGGTGCTCAGAGAGCATGAGAGACAGTGAGGCTGGAGAGATGAGCAGGTTCTCTGATCCCCTGGGGAAGTGGTTACGGATTCGGGTGTGGAGTCAGTTCGCTCGCACAGGCTGCATGCTCCCCAGTGGCATTTGCTGGCTGGACCACTACCCCTGAGGTAGTTAAAAGAGGTTAGTGATTTTTCAGAGAAAATATTCCTCTAGCCGATCTCTCAGTGAGAGAATGCACTCTGGGTGGGGGGATATTACTTGATGCTCCTGTCTTGGTGGTAGGAAGCAAAGGCCTGGAAAGTGGACATTTTACTCTAACACCTCACCTTTGTGATGCAATTCCCCTCTGGAACCAAGCCTTCTGAAATAACGCAGCCTTCCAGAAAACACCAATAAACATCCCTCGGCCTGCCAGGCCTTGGGTTTTTACCTGGTTACTATCTCGGCCCCATCAGCATTTGCTCCACCAGCTCTGTCTTCTAGTGTAACCTGACGATTCCTGCAGTGTTAGCACGGCTGAAAGAGTGGCTGCCTGTAGACCCAGTCAGGGCATTATTTATGGGAGAGGAAGCTGGGACTTCTACGACCTTAATTCCTATTTCATGCCTGCCTTACCCACGGAGAAGGATGGTCCAGTGAAACAACTATTACAAGACAAGGCTGCCTGCTGAGAGCACTTCTGTTTACCACCAGCTGTCCCTCCTTGGGCAGGGACCCAAAGGCCTACCTTGTGGTGTCTTCGCTTCCTCCGGAACCGGAGCAGCTCTTTGTGCTGCCGAGACACAAAGTTGACAGCGGCGTACTCGAGCAAGGCGGAGAACACGAAGAGCAGGCACACCGCCATCCAAATGTCAATGGCTTTCACGTAGGACACCTGGGGTGGGGTGGGGGGAAGAGCACAGGGCAGTGAGGGCGGAAGAGAGAGAAACACTGGCTATGGTGGAACGGAACTCCCCTCCTCCCCCACAGCTGCCCCTCCTCAGCGGGGGTGTTGGGGGGAGGGTACGGAGAAAGTGGAAGAAAACTGCAGCAAGGAGACTGGAGAGAATATTGAGGGAAGGAGAGTGCGGTGCCTAGAAAAGCACTGAAGAGGGGAGGATGGGGTGTCCAGCATTATTATTTGGGGGAACAGAAGGGCGTGTTGAATCTGAGGAACAGGATGCCGCATCTAATTACAAAGTGGAGAATGTCAGTGAGAACTGGGGAGTAAGAACTTCAGAAGCCGTCTCCTCCATTACAGCGACAAGGGAACCAGCAGAAATGGTCAGGACAAACTTTTTTCAGAACGCTGGTAACTAGCCAAAAACCAACAACAATCCTGTGAGCATTTATCTAAGACAGACAGCCAACTCTCAGTAAGCACAGCAAGCTTTGTAGTATCTTAGAAAACAGCTTCATTGAGATATAACTCACATACTATATGATCCACATGTGTAAAGTGTACAATTGAGTGATTTTTGTACATTCACAGATCATGGACCACTGTCATCTAAGTCAATTTTAGAATTTTTATCACCTGAAAAAAAACTTAGTATCTTTTAGTTATTGTCTCCCTATTGCCCCAATTCCCCTACCCCTGGTCCTAAGTAACTAGTAATCTACTTTCTGTCTCTGTAAATTTACCTGTTAGGGACAATTCATATGAATGGGAGAATAAGCATGTGGTCATTTATGGCTGATTTCTTTCACTTAGCACAGTATTTTCAAGATTTATCCGCATTGTAGCTTGTATCTGTATTTCATTTTTTTAATGGCCAAACAATATGCCATTGTATGTATATACCATTTTTCATTCCATTCATCAGTTGATGGGCATTTGGATTATTTCTACCTTTTGGCTATTATGAATAATGCTGCTACAAATATTTGTGTCCAGGTTTTTGTGTAGACATATTTTCATTTCCCTTCGGGCTTTGTGGTGTTTTAAGTTGCCCTATTTCTCTCCTCCCTCCCCCAGTTCCATGCTAGCCTTGAAAACCAACAGCTTGCAAGCTCCATGAAAACCAGCATTGTGGCAGCCACTGACGGGACAGAAAAGAGTTGGAGCTTCTTCAAAGCATCATTCCCAGAGAGTTGTCATTATTTGACCTAACCTGTAGTTCACTGAAAGATTGCAGTCACAAACCAGGCTCTCTTGTCTTGACCTGATTTGTTGCTGGTCCAGTGCGAGCATCCTTTTCCTTAGAGACATTTGTTAAAAACAGTGACAATTATCAAACATCTGGTCAGTCTGAGGCAGTTGGTAAGAGCTGAGGCAAACCATAGGTTGATCAAAAGCTTAAAAGGAAGAGCTAGGAAATGAGAGATCCATGGGGGGCTTGAGAAAGCTCTGATATGTTTCTGGAAATCTGTGTGCTTGCTTAGGCCTTGTGCTTGCTTAGGAAGACCAGAGAAAGCCCTTAGTGCTCAACTCTGGCTAGCCTTGATGCACTGAGCAAGCTGGAAGTGGAGGCTAAGGGAAGTTATAAACTACCCAGCTGAAGTTGTGTCCTAATATACAGAGCTCCTAGGCAAAGTTTGGGGGGTGGTTTATAGGTTCAGGACATTCAAGGAAAACCTGTTTAATTTTTAGCTAACCACCAAACTTAGCTAAACTTAGCAGAGGTTTCAAGTGTCTCTGCTTCCACTGCTAAGAAAGAATATGGACATTCCAGAATTAGTTTATAAAAGTTACTAAACAAACAACAACAGTGACAACAAATCATGAGGGATTTCTAGAGGTGGCACATTAAATTCTGTAAAATGTGCAATTTTCAACAAAAAATTATATTCAAAGAAACAAGAAATGGCCTTGCAATGGGCTGAATGTTTGTGCCCTTCCCAACCCCCCAATTTATATATTGAAAACCTAATTCCAATGTGATGGTATTTGGAGGTGGGGGCTTTGAGGAGCGATTATGTCATGAAGAGTAGTCTCCTCATGAATGGAATTAGTGCCTTAGAAGAAGAGGCCAGAGAGCTAGCTAGCTCTCCTTCCACTATATGATGATACAATAGTAAGTTGGCAGTTTGCAACTGGCAGAGGGTCCTCATCAGAACCTGACTATGCCAGAACCCTGACATCAGACTTCCAGGCCCCAGAACTGTGAGAAATAAATTCCTGTTGTTTATGAGTTGTCCAGTCTTTGGTACTTTGTTAAAGCAGCCCAAATTGCCTATGACTGGCCCATTCATAGGAAAAAAAAAAGCAGCCAAAAGGCTTCCCTGAGGAAACCCAGATGTTGGACTTAATGGATAAAGACTTTAAATCAGTTATTTTAAATATGATCAAAGAACTAAAGGAAACCATGTCTAAACAACTAAAGAAAAGTATAAGAACAAAGTCTTGTCAAGTAGAGCATAAGAGAGAAATTATTAAAAAAAAGAACTAGGTAGAAATTCTGGAGCTGAAAAGTAAAATAAGTAAAAGTTCCACTGGAGAGGATCAACATATTTGGGCAGACAGAAGACAGAATCAGTGAACTTGGAAAAGAAATAGTGAAGTTCAGGTTATCCTGTCTGAGGAACAGAATAAAGAAAAATGAACAGAGCCTCAGAGACCTATGGGGAACCATCAGGTGCACTAAAATATATTTAAAGCAGGGGTCCCCAACCTGGCCACAGACAGGTCCTGGTCTAGGCCTGTTAGGAACTTGGCTGCACAGCAGGAGGTGAACTTGAATGTAATGCACTTGAATCATCCTGAAACCCCAGTCCGTGGAAAAATTGTCTTCCATGAAAACGGTCCCTGATGCCAAAAATGTTGGGGACTGCTGGTTTAAAGAATGGGGTGGAGGGGAGAGAGAGGAAAAAAATATTTAAAGAAATAATAGCCAAAATTTTCCCCAAATTTGATGAAAAACACCACACATCTAAGAAGCTTATTGAATTCCAAGCGAGGAAAGCTCAAAGAAATCCACACCTAGACAGATCATGATCAAACTGTCAGGAACCAAAGACACAGAGCTTTGAAAGAAGCAAGGGAGAAGCAACTCATCACATACAAGGGCTCATCAATAAAAAAAAACAACAGCTGATTTCTTGTAGAAACTATGAGGTCTAGAAGGCAGATGAAATGAAAGATGGCCTAAATAAATGGGACTACATCCCATGTTCATGGATTGGAAGACTTAATAATGTTAAGATGGCAATATTCACCAAATTCATCTAGAGACTCAATGCATTTTTATTCAAAATTCCTTTTTTGTTGTTGCAGGAGTTGATAAGCTTATCTTAAAATTCATATTCATGTTTATATGGAAATGCAAGAACCCAGAATTGCTAAAACAATCTTCAAAAAGAACAGAGTGAGAGGACCCACACTTCTTAATTTCAAAACTACTTCAAAGCTACGACAATCGACAGTGTGGTACTAGCATAAGGATAAACATATAGATCAATGGAATAGAACTGAGAGTTCAGAAATAAACCCATCTACAGTCAGTTATTTTTGATAAGGATGTAAATTCAGTGGAGGGAAAGAACAGACTTAACCAGTGGTGCTGGAACATGTGGATATTTACATGGGAAAGAGTTACATCCCTGCCTCATACAACCTATAAAAATAAAAATGCATCAAAATCTAGATTAAACCATAAAATGCAGGTATAAACATTTGTGACCTTAGGTTACACATTAGTTTCTTAAATATGATACCCAAAGCACAAACAGCTAAAAAAAAAAAAAAAAAAAAAAAAGAAGAATTTGACTTCACTGTAATTTAAAAACTTTTGTGTATAAAGGACACTGTGAATCAAGTGAAAAAAACAACCCACAGAATTAGGAGAAAATATTTGTAAATCTTATATCTGATAAGGGTTTAAAATTCATGATGCATAAATAACTATGACAACTCTGCAATACAAAGAGAAATACCCCAATTAAAAAGTGGGCAAAGGATTTGAATAGACATTTCTCCAGGGAAGACATAAAAATGGTCAATAAGCACATGAAAAGAATGTTCAACATTATTAGTCATTAGGAAAATGCAAATCAAAACCACAGTAAGATACCACCTTGTATCAACTAAAATGCCTATAATCAAAAAGGCATTAATAACAAGCATTGGAGAGGATGTGGAAAAATTGGAACTCTGGTTGGATTATAAAATGGTGTAGCCACTTTGGAAAATAGTTTGGCAGTTCCTCAAAAAGTTAAGCATATATTAACTATTCATCTCCAAGTTGTGTGTGTGTGTGTGTGTGTGTGTGTGTGTGTGTGTGTAACCAATAACATGTTCACACAGTATACACATACGTTCATATCATTATTTATAAGAGCCAAAAGTAGAAATAACCCAAATGTCTACCAACTGAGGAATAGATAAACAAAATGTGATATATTTATATAGTGGAATATTATTCAGCTGTAAAAAGGAGTGAACAACAGATACTTGCTACAACATGAATGAACCTTGAAAACATTACGCTAAATGAAACAAGTCGGTCAAAAAAAGTACATGTATTATATGATTCCATTTATTTGAGATGTCCAGAATAGGTAAATTCATGGAGATGAAAAGTACATTAGTGGTTGCCAGAAGCTGGGGAATGGGGAATAACTGGTGATAAGTAGGGGGTGATGAAAAATTGATGGTAGTGAGCATATACAACTTTGCAAATATATTAACTGCCACTGAATTATATGCTTTAAAAAAAAAAGTGAATGGGGAAGACTATGAGCTTGAGTGTTAATTGCAAATGGAGCCAAACAGTGAGTCTAGTGTTAACAATGAGTGGAGCAGACATTTTTTTGATAATTCAGAAATTTTAAATAAAGCTTTTATATTAGATGAAATTATGGCATTATTTCTAATTCAATCATAATTATTCAGTTAATGTTAATTTTTTAGATGTGATAATATCATTGTGATCCGTATTCTTTATTGTCATGATGTCTGTAGCTTTCAAATGCTTGAGCAACAATTGTTTCTGCCTACCTACTTACCCGCCTACCTATCTGTATATAGAGAAACAGAGATAAAGTAAATGAGGCAAAATGATAACAATTGGAATCCAGGTGAAGGGTATTATGGTATTGATTGTGTATTATTTCAGGTTTTCTGTAACACAGCAGGATATGAAGTGTGGCATTAATTGGACGTTGTGCGGCATGTTGCATGTGGCGTAAGGCTGGAGGATGCAGAGTCTGGAGTCTGGCATTAACAGCAGAGCCGAATGGTGCATCACGCATTGAGTGAATAAACAAGATGTGTCTGCAATGACAGTAGGTGAGGTAGGCAAAGGCAGCGCCTAGCATTAGAAGGAGCAGAGTGGAAGGAGGCACCCAGCATTCACAGTGTAGGGGGCAGAATGCTGGATCTCCAGTGTGGGTGAATGGAGGAGTATGACATGTTTGGCATTAATAGTAAATGAAGCCGAACATTATGTCTCATGTTAAAAGTGAATTAAGCAGAAGGCGAGGTCTAATGTTAACAGTGAAAGGAATGGGATGGTACATTTCTCTGAGGGTGACTGGAGGAGAATTAGCGTCTGCTGTCAGTAATGAATGAAGTGGGAGGCCATGTCTGGGGTTAGGGGAATGGAACAGAATGATGCGTGTCTAGCACGGAATGAATGAAACAGAATGTGTATCTGGCATTACTAGTAAGCGGAGTGAAATGTGGTGTCTAGGCTTAAGAGTGAATGGAGCAGCTTCTGGCTTACAAGTTGATGGTGAATGTAATGGCATGTGGTGTTTAACATTAGAAATACAAGAATCAGCTTGAGGTATGTGCAGCAAAGGGTTAACATGACAGGCATGAGGCTGCTATCTTATGAAGGACCTGCATGCAAGGCTGGTGCTTGGATGACACCTGGGAACTTGGATTGCGGGGGCGGTGTTCCCACTTTCCCTAAGTGATGAGCGTGCCTGGACTGCTGGTACACACAACATGGTTTATGCTGAACATCTGCGTTCCTTCTGGGAGTTTGGAGTTCTGGTATGTGCCAGGCACCCAGCACCCAGCACCCAGTAAAACCTTTGATACTGAACCTTAAATGAATCTCAAGACAATTTCTCTTTCCGTCTTTCTGGGCAGAAACATCTCCAACTTGTGCTGCCTTTTGTTGCTGGGGTTAGAGGGTGCTCTATGAGGTCCCTCATGGGAGGGAGAGAGGGAGGAAGGGAGCGAGCAGGCCTGCCCTTGCATTCCTCCAGCCCCTGCATGTGTCTAAACTTTCCCTTGTCATCTAGCTGTGTATCTTGAATATATCACTGCAAGAAGTCTTAGCCGTGAGCACAACTGTATGCTGAGACTGTGAGTTCTATCAAATCTCTGAATGTGGGGGTGGTCTTGGAGACTCCCAGCACAAAGTATCTCCCATTAATAGTGATGGGAGTGGAATGTTGTAAGTGGCACTAAAAATGAATGGAGGAGTTGATTGTTAATAGTAATTGAAGCAGAATGTGTGTTTACTGTTGGTAGAGAATGGGGCAAAACCTGTCTGGTGACTATTTCCTTCATTTTTTCTTTTTCTCATCTTTTATTTTTCTTTTTTCTTTCTTTCTTTCTTTCTTTTTTTTTTGTTTGTACTGAACATAATGTTAAACCTGGAGGAAAGATTTGTTGGGTTGGAGTGCTGGATCCTGCCAAGTGTGGCAGATGAAGAAATAGCAGCCAATTCCTCGTGCTCTCCTGTCTCAGGCACGGAAGGGAGATGGGCGTCCTCCGTACCTGTCCAGGTGTCCTGTGCTCTTGGGCAGCGGGACTCACCTTGGGCAGGGATGCTCGGGAGCCAGAGCTCTGGGTGGTCATGGTGAGCACGGTGGTGATGCCCAGGCCCACGCGGGCAGGCGCAGCGTCCATGTTGATCCAGAAGGAAATCCACGAGAGGATGACAATGAGCAGGCTGGGAATGTACATCTGGATCAGGTAGTAGCCCATCTGTCGCTCCAGGTGGAACCGGGCCTCAATGCAGGTGAATTTACCTGAAAGACATTATAGCAAGAAGGCAAAGTAGCCTAGTGGGTAGGAACAAGGGTTTAGAGCAAAAATCTCGGCTGGAGTCCTGGTTCAGTCCGACACTAGCTGTGTCCTTAGGCAAATGTTTGAATCTCTCTGTGCCTAACTTGTCTTGTCTATGGTAAATTGGGGAGAATGGTGATGACGATAAAAAAAAAAGTAATGACACCCACCTCATATGTTTACTCATTTGGTTACTATGGTTACTGTGATGAGAGAATGAGATGGTGCCTACAAAGAACTTTGCACGTCCTCAGACATCATTACTGCTCAGGAAAGCCAGTTGCCATCATCCTCATTGTCACTATTTTGTTGCAGAGTGGGCCTACGTGGGCCATTCTCTCCTCTTATGCCACTTTTCTTCCCCAAACATGACTTGATCCTGTTCCTTCGCTTTGTAAAACCTTTCTTTCCTTCCTTCTCTCCTTATACAAGACGGTCCCCTTTTCCTGCAGGGAAAGTTTAAACTCTTTATTCCGCCCTTTGCAATGGAGCGCTACCTGTTTTCCTTCCCATTTCCCTTCTTTTGTGGACCTAATTGCCACCACCTGCGCTCCATCCCTTGCCTGGAGCATGGTTCACACTTGACCCTGCCAAACCTCTGCCTGGAAGGCCCTCATTCCTCCCACAACCAAAGAAAACCCGCTCCTCCTCCACGGGGGTTTCAATATGAAGCCCCCCCAGCACAACGCCTTTTCCCGCGTGTGTTCCTTCACTCTGAGGCAGCGAGCTGAGCCAGAGAGTGGTGGTTCCCTGCTCCCCCGGGAGCTGACCGTCTAGTGGACCTTTTCCAAGGTTGCTGCTCACTGACCTTCAGTGGCACCTCCCAGCTTCCTCCTGCTGAGGTCTAACATGAGCACTCTGTGCGCCTGGGCCCTATCAGAAATGCCATTTCCTCTGTGATGGAGACAGCTAGATGTCCTCTCAATAGCAGCTCTTCCTTCTGCCCGAGGAATCGGGTCCATTTTGAGTTAGGTACACGGCTTCCTGGAACGAAGACTTACTGCCTCTCCCAGCTTCCTGTGTAATGAGCTGTGGCCGGAGCTTAAGTTACTTGCCCCAGGACTCACAGGAAGAAAGTGCCAGAGCCACTTTTTGGTTTCAAAAATATTTTCTTAACCACTAGTCCTCAATATGTAGCTGTGTCCAACGTGAGTCCCTCCTGGGACCTGTTGGAGCAATGACGGAGTGGGTGTCTGAAATGCTCTGTGGCCCCGGTTGCGGGGGCCGGAGAACGGTGGCCCCTCGCACCTACCTGTGTTGTAATGCTTGGTGCAGTATCTCAAGTCCTTCTCCTCCTTCAGGATGAACTGGGGCAGAGTTAGCCCATCTGCCACCTGCACGGCTCCCTGCTCCTGCCACTCGAAGATGAGGTCATTCATGGTGTATCCAACTGGGATGGGATCAGAAGAAGGAGCAGTCACCGCCCAGAAGCACTTACGTGAGACGTTTCAGGGTTGGTGAGGGTTAGAGACAGAGAGGCATCGGGCACTTGGTGGAACTCATGAGACCATGTTGCTTCCCCCTCTCGAAAAAATGAGGTTAAATCTGGTTTAATTGTTGACACTTCCCCCACTGCCCTCCCCTCTCTTCCCACCGCTCCCAGTGTCCTACCTTAGCTTGTCCCGTTGCCCCCTTCCCCTCACCTCCATGGTCAAGTTCAGTGGACGCCTATTTGTGCCTGCGCACCACCCTTGCAAGCTCCCTCTTCTGCTCACAGCAGCCTTCCCTCAGGGGAGTGACTCTGCGGAATGGTACTGCAGTGGGACTATCATTTGGGGGCCAAAGTGTGAGATGGTCACTCAGTGGGACCCATCAGGCTCTCTGCCCCAGGACTTTGACTCTTGAGTGGAGTCAGGGAAGGTTTCACAGTTGGCTGGTGCTGATCCCCGTCAGGGGTGGTGCTCCAAGGGGCCCACTGGTTAGCTGCCGCCGCCCAAATGCTCTGCCCTGGCCTCTGTGCTTTCGGTTTCCCCTGCAAATCCATGTGGAACCTCCGTGTCCTTCTATATCATTATATATATATACTTTTAAGATTTTATTATTTTTAGAGAGACAGGGAGGAGAAAGAGAGGGAGAGAAACATCAATGTGTGGTTGACTCTCATGCACCCCCAACTGGGGACCTGGCCCACAACCCAGGCATGTGCCCTGACTGGGAATTGAACCAGCGACCCTTTGGTTCACAGGCCAGCACTCAGTCCACTGAGCCACAGTAGCCAAGGCATAATTATGTTTTTAAAATTAGATTGCTCTCGGGGTTCACCGTCAAAGAATCCAGCTACCTGCCCTGTCTATTAACATCCGGGTTCACTGGTTGCCCACAGAGCCTTCTCCAATACTGTCTCTCCCAGTCAGAAGGAAGCCGCCTTCTGCCCTGACGCCACCATGTTTGGTGCTTGTAACAGCCCGCGTCCCGCTGGCCGCCCTCCTTTAGCCAGTCATCTATCTGCCCTGTGGGACCCAGCATTCCTGTGCGCTCAAGGACCCTGACTTATTCAAGCGATTTCTTCCTCATTCCTGGAGAGTGTGCTCACAGGGACGTGGACCAGCGCCTCTTGGGGAAAGCTGCCAGCTCCAGGGTGGGGCTCGCTCACTGTAAGTGGGGTTATGTTTCCGCTGCGTTGTCTGAGAGCCAGGCCCCTCCTCTGATATTTTGAGCTATTATAGGAATCTCCTGGGGTCCTAGCCGATAGGAGCGGCTGGGTGGGGATTTCTGCCAGCCCTGTGGGTACAGCGGGGTCTGGTTCTTTCTGGAGGCCTCAGGGAAGGGACTCACAGCTTTCCAGTTGCATGATACACGTCTGGACGTCCATGGGGAAATTCTTCAGGTCCATGGGGCAGGCCAGGGTCAGGGTGATTCTAGGAAGAGAAGGGAGTCAAATGAGGCAGGGCCCACAGACCAGGGAAGCTGGGCCTCCATTTTAGTTGCTACCAGAAACCAGTTCACTAGGGAAGGTCAAGGGGTCAAGGAGGTCAGGGAAGGTTGTTTTTTGAAACAATGTATGTATATTTCTACACTTCAGATATGTAAATAGAGGCTCAGAGAGATAAAGAAGGTTGCCAAAGGTCATGCAGAGTCAGGGGAACTTCTGTGAGTCTTTGGAGTCTGCCTGGCGTCTGGAGGCCTGCTTTAGCATGGCGCCCAAAGCTCTGGGGGCCGGGGGCTCCGCCCACCCCTGCTCTTCTGCGGAGACCTCAGGGATGAATTTTCGGTTGAGCAGCACTGGGCCTCAGGCATTCGCAGGGCTCTGGCAGCAGGTGCTGTGAGTGGTGCTTGGCCGCCTCCCCTTGTACCCTAGGCGCATCAGGAGTTACTTCCAAAGGTCTCCTGCCTTCTGGGTGTCCAAACACAGGTGGCTCACATCTGTGGGCTCCTGCCAGGGCCAGCTGGGAAGCCGTGGGCACCCCAGGGCTCGCTGTTGACTTTGGGTTGTTCCGCCCTTGCAGAGGGCCACAGCCTCAGGCCCAGAGGAAGTCCCCTTGGCAGAGTGCGGGGCCAGCGCTCCGGCTGGGATACAAGGCTCCGGCTGGGAAGGCTTTGCCAACACCTGGGCACCTGCTGCAGGGACCGGAGAAGAAAGGCTCTTGGAGCCTTAGATCGGTCACGCCAACTCCCTCACTTGACAGGTGAGAAAACTGAGGCGCAGGGCAGGATGGCAGGGACTCGTGGAAGGTCCCACGGCAAGCTGGTGGCTGAGGCTGGATTTAAAACCATGTGTCCCAGCCTTGGGAAAGGCTGGCCGGCTTTCCAGCACCGCTGCCCCGAAAGGCACCGGCTTGGTGGCAATCTAGTGGCATTTAGTGCTGGCACGCTGGCTGTAGGTGGTGAGGCGCCGGGCCCAGGTGAACCTCCTCCCTCCAACTCACCCCCACAGCTTGGGATGTGGGTCCCTTCGGGCACCAAGCACAAGCAAGAGAGGGAAAGTGGCAAGGAGAGGGAGGGGAAGACAGGGGAGAAGAAGGGAGGGGGAAAGTGGATGCAGTTGATTTCTGAGGAGAAAATCTCCAAAGTGGGACAGCTGTCACACTGGGTTAATTTCCTGAAGTTGAAGTACCTTGGGAATATTGCTTTCTGCTGATTTGTCCTTCTGCCAGGCTGCTTGGGGGGCTCAGCTTCCCAGACACGGCACTAGCCTGGTGGCTGCGAAATCCAGCCAGGATGGTGCCCACCTTCCCCCCCCCCACCCAGCCCAGCCAGCCAGATGTGGCCTTCCAGTCTGCACGTGCCCTGGGCGGGGGCGCTCCCAGCCGAGGAAGGCGACTCTGCCTCTGCTTCCTCCCAGCCTGCTCGCCTGTGGAGCCTCCTTTCCCCACAGCGATTTCTCAGTTCCCTCTCCCGCCCGCCTGCTCTTCAGTCACGTCTGAGGATCAGGACCTGGGCAGCCCCTCCTACAGGCCTCGATGTTTAAAGCTCGTCTCCTAAGGGAAATAAATACAAAGATTTATTCCCCCAGCGGAGCTGAAGTGGGATGGGGAGTCAGTTAGGAACAGTGCTCCCCTTTAAACTCTTTCAGATAAAAATATCTCCATTCATTCATCAACTATTTGTTTATTGAATGCCGAGCTCCTGCTCTTCGAGGTTCTGAGCGGGCATCAGGTCAGCTGTGGGAGCGTTGGTAGATTACCTGAACTTTCCCATCCTCACTTGTCTGATCTGCAGTGGGGCCATCATAAAATCTACTTCATGGGGCCGTTAGGGGGGTTAGACATCCTGTATGTAAAGTACCCAGCCTGGTGAGTACATTCTCAGCGATTCTTTTTAAGAATCATGTGGACATTGGGCCTTTTCTTCCTGCCCTGGGGGAGAAGATTGGTAGTCAGGTGGGGAGGGGCGGCAGGAGGCTCTGAGCAGTGTCTGCAGGGAGCTGGGGACGGGGCTGGCTCCCTAGACTCAGTGCAAGGTACAGGGCAGGGGGGGCACCTCTGGAAGGGGCTCGGCTGCCCCACTGATGAGCCCGCAGTGCTTTCACTGGGCAGGCCCGGTTATGGTGACGTTGCCGGACCTTTTCTCCAAAAAAGGTTTTGTGGCTTTGCTCCTCCTATTTTTTTTTTAAAAAGGTGGTAAGAACATTTAGCATGAGATCAGCCTTGGCAACAAACACTGACGTGCACATGCAGCACTGTTAGCGGCCGGCGCTGTGTGGTCCAGCAGATCTGCGGAGCTGGTTCACCTCGCGTAACCGCGCGCTCCTGCTATTGGTCGTTGCCTGCAAATCCCCTTTCCTGTCTTGTCTTACTGAACTCTGGGTGAGCCTAGGGGCCTAACTTGAACCCCACCCTCTCCCCATGCTTCCTTGATCTCCCTGCTTGGAATTAACCACTTGCTCCTAGGACTTCCCACGATTTTATTCTCACTTGCTGAACATAAGTTTCAGAGTCGGTTCTGCCTATCTGGCAAAAGTGTCAGGTTGCCAGGGCCCATTCGCCTCTGTTTGACCCCCCTCTTAGTGTCTGCTCCCAGAAGGCAGCGGGGCAAGGCACTTCCTGAGGCTGGAGGGGACAGACCTCTGTGGCGCTCACCTGATGCTGTAGAGGACATTGCCATTCCGGGAGATCCTCAGCAGTTTGTTGTCCGTGGTGATCTCGTGGAAGTGGGCCCCCTTCTCGTTGGCAAAGAACAGGTCGGGCTTCCAGATGGAATCCAGCATGGATGGGTCCAGGTCCAGAGAGTCGTCTGGGTATTCATTGTAGGCCAGCCGGGGGTCGTTCCACTGTTGCCGCAGGAAGATGTTGACTCTGTAGTCCTGCAGCCAGGAGGCAGGGAGGTGGGGTCAATGTTGGGCCCCGGATGTCAACCCTCTGAGGCCCAGGTACTTTCAGCCATTGTCCCCCGAAGCCCCTCTGGAGGCTCTAATGAAAGTACAGTTGCAGCTTATGTGGGAGTAAGATGTAAAAGTCTGTGCACCAGGCAAAACCCATGGGAGTCGTGGTCAATCATCCTGGAACGTTCTCTAACTGCCCCATGAAGTATATTCAGCTCTTTTATAAAAAAAAGTATACTTTATTGATTATGCTATTACAGTTGTCCCATTTTTTCTCCCCTTTATTCCCCTCCACCCTGCACCCCCCCCAGCATCCCCCCACCTTAGTTCTTGTTTGTGGGTCGTACGCGTAAGTTCTTTGGCTTCTCCATTTCCTAGACTATTCTTAACCTCCCCCTGTCTATTTTGTACCTACAGTACATTCAACTCTGAACTGAGATTATTTAAACATTATTTTTTCTTTTGAGAAGTTAAAAAAATAAAAAGTTCAGGCTGATGTCATAAACACCTGTTTCACCCTGTTAACATTTTCACTCCGTGACCGCTGTTTTTCAGATGAGAATCCATTACAGATAAAGTTGGAGCCCCCCTTTTATCGTGACCCCCATCAGTGCGGCAGTTCTCAGGGCACTCAGGTGGGAGAGCTGCCAGCCTGGACAGACTGGAGGGACAAGAGGACAGACTAGAAGCTGATGCCTGGGCATTCAGACTATTTTGCCTAAAGAAGACAATTTCCGAGCAGTGAAGGAAGAGTGAGTAAAAACTCTATAGAATTCATTCTGGTCCTGGGGTTCCCACCACTGCTTCAATACCAGTCTTCTGTGACCTTCTCTATTGTACATTGATTTGGGTGGGAAGAATTAATACAGTAGATGTCGCGGAGTCACAGCTCACTGGATCCTAAACTCAGTGCTAAGTGAAGTGCTTTTGTGGGATGGCAGGGTGGTTACTCCACTGATAAAAAGAAGTCACAGATCAAACCAGCTAAGGGAGATGTTTGACTGAACTGAATGCAACAGATCCCTTTACTCTAGGGTTTCTCAGAAGTCAATTTAATATGCTAATAAATTGTGTGTCTCTCCAAGAGGGGACTAGAGTACGCAAGGCTTCCCTGATTTATTTTGGCCACAGAACTTTTTATTTTGTGCATGACGTGTGTCTTCTATAGAAGATAGGTTAGAAATTGCTGTCTTAGTCGAAACTCACCTCCCACCCCCCTTTTTTTCCAGTTGGAGAAACTTAAGTTCAGAGAGAACTGTGAGTGGCCCAGGGTCACTCTGGAGCAGGGCTGATTCTGGCACCCAGAGTCCTGACTTCTAGTGACGGGTTGTTCTGCTGTCCCTAGAGGACATGAGAGTCCATTTAGTTTCCATTTACAACCCAAGCAGCAGCTAATGGGATGGGAAGGCCTCCAAGGCCGGAAACTGGGTGATGAAGTTAAGACATAGTTGCAAAGGCAAGTTTTAAATTTTGTGAGAGAGGCATTATAAACCTGGGTTCCATGAATGTCATGGTACCGCAAGTAGAATTTAGGGTATATGTTTTCCCAGGAACAAAAACATAGCTCTCTCTGCTGGAGTCCCAAAAGAGTTTCGAGTTCTCAAAGACGAATAACCTCAGCTCAAACCCAACGTGAAATGTTCTCCTCCAGGAAACAAGCTCGACTCCGGGGCCCCTGCTGCTCTGGTTTCCCTGGAGGCGCTGTAAGTGAGATCACGCTGTATTTTCTTTGGGGTGCTGCTTCTAAATGCTAATCACTCTTGATCTGTCACCCGCAGGAGTGAACTAAAACAAATTACTCCCCCACCCCGCACCCCGCTGAAGTTCCTCCCACAGCCCAGCCAGGTTCTGTCTGCCTCCAGAAAAAGCAATAGCTTCCTAACTGGGGCCAAAGTATCTCATAGAAGGGTTGTGTAGTTTCACGGAAGCCTCTCCCTCCAGCCCCGTAGAAAATGGGCATCATCTTCTGAGTCCTGTGGTGGCGGCAGAACGTCAGGCCAGACCTGGACGTTGACTCTTCGTTGTTTTTTTGTTGTTGCTGTTGACAGTCATAGACAGCTTCCAATTTGGCCCCATCTATTCTGGGGGGTTAGGAACAGCTTTCTCCCTTGGATTTTATGGGAAGCGTGTGTGCGTGTGTGCATGTGTGTGTGTGGGACGAAGCACTGGGCGAGTCCTGTCAGAGTAAACAGACTGCGAATGGTTGGGCAGAAAAGGCCTTCCATCCCCGAACCCCAGCTGCACTTTTGATGTTCTTGCCAGCGCCATGTCAAGCCTGTTTATGCAACTGGAGGGAAGAAAAGAAAGTGGCATTTCTTAAAATGGTCTGTTAGATAGCCGGCGCTGTTCTGGATACTGTCACATATATTTAATCGTCACCAAAGCCCTGAAAGTTAGACATTTGGATTCCCATGGTAAGGGTAAGGAAACTGAGGCTTCGAAGGCTGGAGAAACTTGCCCAAGGCCCAGAGCTAGTAAGTGGCAGAGCTGAGAGGTGAATCCGCATCAGCCTGACCCTCAGGGAGCGAGCGCTTGTTCCTGATGCCCGTGGCCATGTGCTTGGGGAGCAGGTGCCGTGCCGAGGACGCTCTCATCCTCACAGCCCAGGTAACTTCTGCCTGCTCAGCTAGAGCCCCATCTCCTGCAGGAGCCCTGATGCCCTCAGGCTTCCCCATCTCTCCCTTTTCTAATCTCCTAGCAAAACGGAATCACCAGGAACATGTAACTTAGCACTTCCTCACTGTGTGTGTCTTACCTCCTTAACTTGATTGACAGCAATTTGAGAGGATGAACTCGAGTTTATATTTCCTCTGCACCATCCCACCTACTCACCCTAGCAGCTACCCAGTGCACCTAGGTCAGTGCACCTCGGAGCTACCCAGGACCCAGGAGGAGGAGGAGGAGGGGAACACGTAGGGGAGGAGAGGAGCAAAGCCAGAAGAAATTGGAGCAGGAAGAGCTTTCCCCATTTTATAGCTGAAAAGACTGGGACTCAGAGAGGGAGGGCATTTTCTAAGGTCACATAGCAAATCAGTGAAGGACCCGGGATTAGAACCTGAGTTGCTTCTCTGGTAAAAGAAGGAGTTAGGCTAGCTGGTCTCTACGAACCCTTCCAAATCTAACAGTTCATCGTTATTAGTTTTGCTTTTTCAAGAAGATTTAACTGAGCATCTAGTAAGTGCCAGGTGCTGGAAGAGGTACTGGGAACAAGAAAGACACATCTGTGCAGTCCCAGAGCCTGCAGTGCCCTGTCTGCTGCTCACTGAGGCTCCGGCAGGCACAAAGCATGGGGTACTAGGGGGACAGAGAAGACAGCCTCGCCATCCAGAGGTGGGGCGGTGGTCAGGGAAGACTCCGGGAAGTCATGATATTTAAGGTGAGGCCAGATCTGGCTGGGCCAAAGAGGAAAAGCATTTTGGGCAGCTGGAACTGCATATGCGAAGGCCTAGAGGCAAAGCAAGAGTGCAGTGCTTTGGAAAGAGTAGCAGGCAAGTGAGGAGGGGGCGGGGAAGCAGGCAGGGCCTCTCAGGCTGTCCCGAGGAGTTCGGACTTCATCCTGGGAGCACTGTGGGGCTTTGAGGAGTTTTCACGAGTGAGGGGCATTATTTACATTTGCATTTTATTACTGATATTTTATTTTTAACAGGAAAAGGACTGCATTTATTGATTGTGTACATCTATTAATCTGCTATATAGTGGATCATTTTAACATACTATATGTCATTTAATACAACATCATTAAAAACTAGCTTATTATTCCCATTTTGCAGTTCTTACTCCCACCTTAAAGTGGAAGGCATTCAGGCTCAGGATAGTTAAGTAATTTTCGTAAATTTGCAAAGAAAATGAGCGCCTGGATTCTAGTCCGGGTGCTTGACGCGCCACAGTGCCACTTCATAAATGCGCCATGAAGAGTAAATGCATGTGCAAAACACACGACGTTCTTTCATGGACAGACATAGTCTCTATTTTGTTATTACTGATATTTTTAAAATGTTTAATTTTCTCTTATTATAGAAATAATGCATGCTGACTGGAAAAATACAAACATACATCACCTAAAAGAAGAAAAAACCCCGTAGGGTCTCTTAACGAAATGACTAATGGCAGGTGGGGGCAGGTGAGGGCAGGTCCTCGGGAGGGCGCCTGGGTCCTCAGGCCACCTGACGCCTTCGCCCTGCAGCCCCGCTTGTCCCCTCAGCAGCTGCTGCCTGAACGAGCTGTGCCATCGACTTCTCCCTCCTAGTCGGCCAACAGCAGCGGGAATTGCAGTTCTGAGGAGATCAATGTAATTGGTGTAATAGCCTGAAAGCTAAGTGCTGTTTTGCTTACTTAACCGTGTACTCATAGCAAAGGTGTTTGACATGGTGGGGTCCATGTTTAGGTTCACAGGCCCGGGGAGCAACATTCGAATCCTCTGCCTGAGACTCTCAGGTTCCACCTCTGCTAAATTGCTTTCTAGATCTCAAACTCTCAAAGGTGGACCATCTAAGTCTGAGGTGGGGCAGGGGGAGAGGGGATTTCCGGAGTTCCAGTTCAACTGTTTTTAACATCAGCTCATCAATCTTGCCTCTGAGATTCCCTCATGGCTTGATTTCTGGAAGCTGGACAATGGCCGTGCTTGACAGACTGAAGTGGAGAATTAACTCATTCATTCTGTCACTCGACACATTTATTGAGGGCTTCCTGCGTGCCCCTCCTCCAACAGTGTGTCTAATTTCAGATTCTAACCCCTCCCAGTAAACTTCTCTAAACTCAGTATTGTCAGGAAATAGCATGAGGTGTTTCAGTATGAGAGAGCTAAGAGCCTGCTGAGTGCTGGTGAGAAGGGCGTGGGGAAGGCAAGGTGTGTGCCCACTGTGTGTGGTACAAAGGTGTGAGGACAAAGAACAAGCGGTTTATTCCTTCCTAAGCTTCAGCACACCTGCTCTCAAAGGGATGCCTCTCCTCTCCTCTCCACTCAACTCAACTCTATAAGTGTT